ATATGTGGTCAGTGACGTTTTGAGTGTGAAGGACAACAGTTCAAGTGTGGGATTGCTTTCGGAATCATTGTTTTTTGTGATGGAACGCTTAATATCGCCAATGTGGAAGTTATATATTCTGAGGCTTTACGGTTCTTTAAACAAGAGAGTTAATAACCTACGATTTTTGGGCCTAGCGGTGATGTGACAATACGTTAAGGTATCGGTGCGTAGATTTTCAGTTAAGAGAATGACAAAATGTTAGATCTGATTTCCTATTGATAAGATATTGGGGCGTATAGACTTTAAATAGCTAAGAATGTCTGATTGGAATTCTTGACCAGACGCCAAATTACAAAAATATCACCAACGTAGCGTTTCCATAATTTTGGTTTTAGATGAAAGGTGTTGGTCTATAAGTCTATTTGCCGTGATTGGTGATAATGGAGAACCTAGACGTTTCTTCAGAAATTTGACAGTTATAAGAATAATACTTTCCAGGCAAGCATTTTTCAACTAAGATGAGACTCACCAGAAATCCTGTGGTTCTAATGTAATGATTCTTAATTGTCCAATGAAGGAATTAAGTTCGAAACTGTCAGTTTTCCCTGTAAAGAGTTTTAATGTAGAAGCTATATATTTTGCAAAAGAATATGTTGGAGAGCCAATGGGGCTGACAATTTTTAGTTTGTCAGTCTTAGGGAATTTGAAAGTCTAATGGGTGACAGATTTTTTCACAGATGCTGATAAAAAGAATCCTTAATAAGAGATTTAAGATTGCGTTTCATAGATGTATATTGATTTTCTTTCTTAATATTGGTATTGGTAGCACTTAGGCCACCAGATGGGCCCGTTGTGCCCCCAGGCCGCTCTAGAGGGCGTCCAGAATGTCGCCCCTCCTATAGAAGGTCAGCAACTCCTTTAGCCCAATACCGTGCACTGAGTCCGGATCGATCAGGGCCGTTCCGAAGACTCCCAATCTTGCCCTTGTCAAGGCAGGGCACTCCTCCCCTTCCATGCACCACCTACACTCCGGATCGTCTCCAATGCCTAGCAAGCAAAGATGCCTCCTAAGCCTGCAATGTCCTGTGTAGGCCCCTGTTAGTGCTCTACACTCCCTTCTGGTCAGTCTAAGCAGCTCCTTGGTCCGAGGAAGGGCGGGCCCATCCATCATAAGCCTCGCCTGCCTCATTCCCGGAGCAACTCTCCAGCCCCCCGCGGCCCGGTCTCTCGCCCAAGCTTCGAGAGCTCCCCGCCTCACACACGGGGCGATCCCCAAGCGGGGCTCTGGCCCTATATGCCTATGCGAGGAGCCCTCCCTGGCTAAGGCGTCCGCTGCCTCATTGCCCCGGATACCGGTGTGACCCGGGACCAAGACCAACGTGACCTTTCTCTCCTCAGCCACCTTCTTCAGTACCCCTTTGCACTCCTTTATCAACAAGGAGCGCGTACGCACTGACTTCAGCGCCATGAGTGCAGCCCTACTATCCGAGCAGAAGAAGACTCTCCTGCTTCCGTAGTTGAGCCGAAGCACCTCTCTGGCCGCCATCAATAAAACGAAAATTTACGTCTGAAACACAGTGCAGTACTGACCCAGAGGGACCGACAAGCTTGATCCCGTTGTCTCGCAGTACGCTCCACCTCCTACCAGATCTCCCATTCTGGACCCGTCCGTGTACCAGACAAGTCCATCCCAGGAGCCGACTCTGCCCTCTCTCCAATCTTCCTTTGATGGAAAGAGAAAGGTCAGTTTATCAAAGAAGGTCATCTCGGGGATCATGATGTCACTCGGCATGCCCATGACCCCGCGATCCCCGCGACAGCCCTCTAAAATGTCGTACGGACCCCGATTGAAGGTTCCCTCCCTCCAGAGCCCGCAGCTCGCCAGCCTCACAGCTGTCCTGGCCGCCTCCATCTGCACTAGATCCGCCAGAGAGGGCAGCCCCACCAGAGCCTCCAGGGCCCTCGTGGGCGCCGTTCTCATGGCGCCCGTTATGCAGAGGCAAGCCAATCTCTGCAGTCTGTCAAGAACTAGCCTTGCTCCCGCTCTTTTGGTCCCCGGCCACCATGCCACTGCCCCATGCGTGAGCATAGGCACCACCATGGTACCGTAGATCCACTGCATGATCTTCGGCCTCAGGCCCCAAGTGCCCCCTACCGCTCTTCGGCACGCCCACAGAGCTCCAAAGGCCGACCTGGTCCTTGATCTTATATGTTCCTGGAAGGTCAACTTAGAGTCCAACCATACGCCCAAGTACTTGACACTTCCGCTTGCAGAAAGAGGCACCCCATCCATCGAAATGTTGAGGTTGCACTCCATCTTCCTTTTCCTAGTGAAGATGACCATCTCCATCTTGCCAGGATTGACAGCCAACTTGCTGTCCAGCCACCATTGTGAGAATCTTGCTAATGCCCCGTTCAGGAGCCCCTGCATCCTCCTCACGTCCGTCCCCTGCGTCATTATCACAAGGTCGTCTGCATATGCCTGAGCATAGACCCCGTATTCTTCCCTCAGAATATGCAATATCTCGTTCACCACTAGGCACCACAGGAACGGGGACAAGACCCCGCCCTGTGGACAACCCCGTGATGAATCGATGGAGACCTGCTCCCCACCCAGTCTTGCCTCGACCCTCCTGTCGGTTAGCATGGAGCGGATCGACCTTACAATGGCCGTCCCCACTCCAGTACTCTCCACCGCCCTGCAGATCGACTACAGGGCCGTGTTATTGAAAGCCCCTTCGATGTCAGCGAACACGCACACCGACAGCCGTCCCGAGCCCATACCCTCCTCCAACCTGGAAGTCAGATGGTGAAGAGCTGAGCCCACAGACCCGCCACTTCGGTACGCATGCTGAGCTGGCTCTAAAGGGGCCTCCAGCACCACCCAGTCCCTCAGATACCGGTCCACCAGTCTCTCCAGAGTCTTCATAATGAAGCTGGTGAGGCAAACGGGCCGGTACGACTTCGGGTCCGTGTAGTCACTCTTCCCTACCTTGGGAATGAACACTACCCTGCTGTGTCTCCACAGCTCGGGCACGTACCCCCTCGCAATGGAGGCCCTGAACAGGTCCATCAGCGGGCTGGTCAGGAGACCTCCGTCCCTTTGCAGCAGAGCCGGAAATACTCCATCCCCGCCCGCCAACTTGAAGGGGCCAAAGCTGTCAATAGCCCACCTCAGCCTACTATGGGTAACCACCCTCCTTGCCGTGGCGTAGTCGCATCCAAGACGACCCCCGGCTTCAATATTCCCCCCTGTGTCCGGATCAGCGGACCCTGGGAAGTGCGTGTTCAGCAACTGTTGTAGTGTGTCCGCTGGTCCCGCTGTGTAGCCACCGCCAGTCCTGCGGACCACCCCCAGTCTGCCCGCAGAGTCACTGGATGTGGCTCCTCCACAGCCTAACCGAGCGTATCCGGGCAGGGGTGTATTGCCCCCCGTGCATGATATACATGCTTATGCGGAGGTTAAGAGACCCTATGAACCGCAGCAGGTCCTCGGAAGACAGGTCAGTTTCCTGTCCTCTGAGGCCCACCACCAGTTCAGGCCCCCCCCGCCACCACTTGTGCATAGGACCGAGCCCCCCTCTCAGAGCCCCCCGGGACGGCCCGCCTTTCCCGGGCCTAGCTTTCGCCGGGCCGCGTGTCGGCCGCCGACCCCCGGCAGGTGCCCCAACCTGGGTGGTCTCTCCCATTTTTCTTTTCCGCTTCCCGCCTGCCGTTTCCGGTGTGCCCCCTATGGAGCCCTCCGTTGACGGCGTGCCAGGATTCCTGAGCGCTCAACTCACTCACTCGCTCACTCCTATGTCTGGGGCGGTGTGTCATCGAGGTGGTGTTCCCGGTTTGTACCGAGCCCTCCACCCCGCTGGCGACCTGAGGACGTCCCTGCTTGCTGGAGCCCCCTTGGGGCCCCTCCTCCTTCTTCATTTCTTCGCATTTCATTTTTGGTCCCATAAAGGTCCCCCGCATGCAGAGGTAAGGCTTCCTTCCCCGAGGTGCGCCCGGTGCCTTGATATTCATTTGTGTTCATGACTGCCGTAGCATTTCCTTTAACTGCTTTTAGAATTACTATGTCGGAATTAGATTTTGGAGCAATGCGTTTAGGCTTTGGAATATTATATTTAGGATGTTTTGATTTTTTAAGGATTTTTGATGTTTCAAAGAATTTCATTTTGTTTACAGAAAACCTAAGTACTCAGATCGATACTTTAATGCATTGTCAAGACACCATCGGGCCCATAAATCATCGGTTATCAACTCTCTTGTTTACAGAGCTGTAAATCGATTTCGGCACGAGTCACTGAACCCATATTAAGCGTTCCATCACAAAATGCATCTTCCCAAGACAAGCAACGCCACACTTGCCACTGTTTTCCTTCCTTACATTCAAAACATCACTTACCACATATCACAAGTTCTTAAGAAATATAACTTCAAAACCAGATTTACCGCTTGTCCAAAAATCTCTCAATATTTTCGACCCTTCAAAGACATAATTCTGTTTGAGATACCAGGAATTTACAGCATTCCATGCATATGCGGCAAAGGAAAATATCAACCAGGCGCACAAAACATTAAAGGCCCCTAAATAAATAAACTTATCAGCACAATCATGAAACCGGACATAATATCTTGTTCGATAAAACAAAATCTATAAGCAACCAGACAATATTAACCACGACTTAGGTCTTTACCTGTCAGCAAAATGAGAATCAGTCATGCGAGACAATATTCATGCCCCTCCTTTAGCTCCGCCCTCAAATAATATATAAGCAGGCACAGAATAGAGTGCGACCCAGTTTCAATTAAGCTCTGAAGAAGAAAACAGTATAATTGGCGAAATATCAGCAAGTTTAATTTATAGACAACCGACGCAGTAGGAATGCAGAAGATTTGTTAATAGTATTATAGTAGCCTGTGGAAGTTTCTTTGAAAAATTGATTTTTTTTTGTTTCGCCTTCTGGAGCTTGCTTTTGAAGACTTGATTTTCAATATACTGTTTCTACAGTGTTATCAAATTTCAGAGTTTCGTCACCTCAAACGTTTGCTGCCTCAGGATTATTAATTTCGAGCCCGCCACTTCGGTCACGTACGCCATCGTGAAAATCGTCGGCTCAGTGGAAACGAACGACCAAAACCCCGAATGCACGTCGGCCCCAAATTGCGTCACGATAACGTCATCTTCGCGGCACGACGTCAAAGCAGATCTGGTAAACGGACGGTTCAAGGTATTCTTGGAGTTGAATCGGGGCGAAAATTCGATCTGCATTACTCACTGCGATCAAAACGTACAGTTAAAAGTAACTTACGAACCGAATCTAACCGACTACACTGTGATACCCTTGTACGTCATATGCGACGGACACGACGGCCGATTTCAAGCGCCCGAGAATGAGAAAAATGACGTGGACAGTGCGTTGCGACGAATCACTCTGTGCGCGAAACTGTTGCAATGCTTTACGGCTGAGAAACTGCACGACAATGGCCTGGGAAGGAAAACGTTTTCGTTGAAAGGCGGATGTAGTGTGTTTCGAAGCAAGCTGGATTATACGGAAGCCAGGAAGATGGGCCAAGAAGAACTATGGGGGCGCATCGGTAAGGTGATAGCGGGAATTAACTTGACATATTTATTATAGTCTGTTTCAATCTTTATTGCGTTGGCTTTTGGCCGCAGTAATAATATATCTTATTTGTTTATTTATATGGGTATATTTTTATTAAATTAACTAAGAAAAGAAAGACATTAAATATACACAATAAATACATAGCTAGGAATATCTATAGGAATAATTCCATTTTTTTTTCTAAATGTCTAAATCTAATCCGAGTCGTCATTGAACTTAATCATAATAGGATTTATGTTGTTTTGTATAGAAATGTAAGAGTCATTAATTTTTATAATGTGCTATACTGAATTTTTGCAGCTCTCAATGGGTACATTTTTTATCAAATTTATGACACTGGGATTTTAAGTGGAAGTAACATTTTCTGCTTCGAAATTTGATTTTCCTTGGTTCCACAAATGTTCTATTGTCGCATATATACTGTTTTTTAATTGTATATATCAGTTTTTGAACTTGGTGAGGCTGGTTGTCCATGACAATAACACTGTTAAAAAGGTTATTTGGAAAACAATTTTCAAAAAAATCGGCACTTTTATCCTCATGATAATCCAAACTTAAATCCTTAACATTCTTTGTAGACAACAGCAAGCAGTTAAGCACAACTCCGTGACAAGGCGTGTATTACTGTGATGCGTTTTCTTTTATTTCGTCTGACAGTTTTGAGTGGAATCAAGCATCCTTTAAATACAGTGCGTGTGCATCGAACCATATTTCATCAAGGTAAATTATGGATCTGTTGTCTAATCTATATCTTTTAATTTCTTGAAGGTAATTAATGAAATTAAAATTAATTAAGTGCGTAATCTATGTGATTCCATTACTGCTTTCCATTTGTCTGTTTCTTACTCAAATCCTATTTTACAAACAACTCTATGGAGGGTGGCACGGTTTATATTGGTTTCATCTTCTTCTAGTCCTCTACTGAATAAAGTTTCACATATATTTTTTACAACCTGTTTTGTATCAAGCGACAAACGGTTTCGACGCGACATTGTCGTAAAATAACTTTTCGAAACGCACACTAAAAACGATTAGTCAACATTACCGCAAATAGAAATATATTAGAAAGACAGAAATATACCTGGCCCACCCCTGCCTTGTCACTCAAGTAAGAATAATCTTTTTGTTAATGGGTTTACCCAATAACAATACTTGAAGTTTTATTGGGGAGGTTACGTCGAAAGCCAACACGATGAAACATGAGGCAGACTATAAGTTAACGCTTCCCTCACGCTAGATCGGTGTATAATTATACATTTTACAGAAGGGAGTAGAAAATAGTATATTATGCAACAAGTGCGGTAAACGGCATTTGACTCACGAGTTTATTTGAAACGAGCTGAACGAGTGTTTAATAAACAAGTGAGTTAAAAAGTTTACCGAACGTATTGCATACTATACTTTTTCTACGACCGTTAGTTTTTGGGTACATTTTCGCAAAATAACAAGAATGTCACTGACATGACCGTTCGAATTGACAAACGTCAAAATTCAAAGCGTGGGAAATATTTCCGAAAACATCCGATCACTCCTAAATCCGTGCGGTAAAATCCCGGAAATGTCCGAAGTGGGTTGGATCCGTGGGAAATGAACCTGACGTGGAAAAGTGATGCTTCCCACACGCTGGATCGGTATGTAATTAGGTATTTTACGGACGGGAGTAGAAAATTAGTATATTATGCAACAAGTGCGGTAAACGGCATTTGACTCGCGAGTTTATTTGACACGAGCGGAGCGAGTGTTTAATATGCGAGTGATTTAAAAAGTTTACCGAACGTGTTGCATACTATACTTTTTCTACGACCGTTAGTTTTTGGGTACATTGTCGCAAGACAACACGAATGACCGTCACAATTCAAGGCGTGGGAAATATCTCCGAAAACATCCGATGGCTCCCAAACCCGTGCGGTAAAATGCCGGAAATATCCGAACTGACTCGGACCCGTGGGAAACGAATCTGAGGTGGTAAAGTGACCCTTCCCACACGCTAAATCGGTGTTTAATTAGGTATTTTACAGACACAAGTGCGGTAAACGGCATTTGACTCACGAGTTTATTTGACACGTGCGAAGCGCAGCGGACTGAGCTTTTAATAAACTAGTGGGTTAAAAAGTATACTGAACCTGTTGCATACTATACTTTTTCTACGACCGTTAGTTTTTCGGTACATTTTCGCAAAACAACACAAATAACAAGAATGTCACTGACATGACCGTCAGAATTGACGAACGTCAAAATTCAAAGCGTGGGAAATATCTCCGAAAACATCCGATTGCTCCCAAATCCGTGCGGTAAAATCCCGGAAATGGCCGAAGAGGCTCGGATTCGTGGGAAAGGAAACTGACGTGGTAAAGTGACGCTTCCCGCACGCTAGATCGGTGTGTAATTAGGTATTTTACAGACGGGAGTAGAAAAATATTATTACCGTATTATAATTATCTCTCGAAAAAAATCGCACAGCCGCACATGATTCGCATTTTTTAATATACTTAACTGGAATTTAAATTTTAAATGCGACCTATACATGGATCCCCACACAATTAGAAGTATCGGAAAAGAATTTGATAAAGTTGTTTCGAATAATATTCTAACCCCACATACCAAATTTTATGACCATAATTCGGAATTTTTTTGTTCATTATTTTAGTCAGTACCTACAAAAAATTATTACAGGTTATTCACTAAAATAGTGTGCCATGGAAAGTAATGATTTGACAATTGCTAAATCATCAATGTCAATCAAAATAAATTGTCAGTTTATTAAATTTAAATCTATTCGCCTCAATATTAGTAAGTATAGCAGAAAATCAAGCCCTATAAATCAAAGTTCTCACATACATCAAAGCAGATGCTGATAATAAAAAAATTAGCTTATTATTATTGGGCTTAAATAAAATTTTGAAATGACAGGCATTTTCTGAAGAACATTTTGTTTACCGATATAAGTAGATACTAGGCCCCACTTGGTTAGTTATAAATTGTAAAGAGTAAGATAAGAACTGATTTCGGAAACATTTCCTGTTGAAGATCTATCACAAATTATACTTGAAAACTTTTAGTTGATTTACAATAGTGACGTGTTTAATCAAAACGATGGTGCCGTGGTTTATATAAAAAACACTTAGAATATTACAAATATGGCGAAACTTAAAACCTCCACGCGTCTCGATCGTTGTTCATATCCTCTACGAGACTTCTCTCTTGCATCAATTCCTGCATTCCAGCTTTTCCGTGGTCTGCGTCTTTTCCTTCTTTATGGTGGCCTCCAATCATAATCTTTTTTTGGGTATTCTGTCTTAGCTCATTCGACTCATATGTCCAAACCACATTAGTTATTTTTCTTCAATAGTATCTAATAGTCTCTTTTCTACATGCATTTTGTTCAAAATTTCGTCTTTTTGATTTTGTCTATTAATGGGGTTTTACAGCACGTTCTCCAATACATCATTTCTGTAGAAGCTACCTTTTCTTTCATAGCCTTTGACATTTTCCAAACCTCTGACCCATACGTAATTGTACTTTGAACAAAGGAATTAAATATTCTCCTCTTAGTATTTTGGGAAATTAGGTCATTCCATAACACTGGGTGTAATTGAAGTATAACAATTTTTCCTTTATTAATTTTGTTTTCTACGTTCACTTCGTCTCCTCCGTCCGATGTTATAGTCACTCCTAAGTACTTATACTGGTTTGTATGTTAATGTAATAATTCCCACATGAGTGTGTAAATTTTGTCCGTTTATTCCAATATCTATGTACTAGGTTATCTCCATATTTATTTCCAGGTCCCATTTCTTGTATTTTTCTACAACGTTTCTAAATATATAGTTTATATCGTCGTAACTTATACAAGAACACCGTGGATTCGCTTTATGTGATTAAGCTTTCTATGTTGTATATTGGATCTTGAAGTGATTTTTTATTTTCTACCTTTGAGTTAACTCCAAGATGTTTGTGTCTTACTAAAAGTGCGCCAGTTACCAGAAAGTAGTCTGAATCGCATACTGCTCCTCTTTTAACTTTTACGTCATACCATTTAATTGCGGGCTTTTTATTTACTACGATATAGTATTGATTTCAGCCCCTTCGTTTGTTTGAACGTTCTTGTAATTGTAGTAATGTCTTAGGCCGTTGTCATTTACTGTTGCTTCTCCCTACCTTCCAATGATGTTTGAAATTTTACTTCCTACACAACCATTATAGTGGCTCATAACAATTATTTCTTTATTATTTCCTACATTATTTAAGAGGAACGATAAATTTGCAAAAAATTCCTCGTTTTCTAACACGCTGGTATTATGTAGGTAGGTAGGTAGGCGTATACTGCGATGATTACTGTTCTCTGAGCCAAGATCTTCAGTTCCACTCTCATCGGTCTTTCACTAACTGGTTGCCAATTTTGAAGATATTTTTGCAGTTTATAATTTATGGCTATCGAGATACCTGCTATGGCTCGTTTCTCTTTTTCTACGCCTCTGTGGAAGTGAATGAAGTTATTTCTATTTTCATTTCCATTTCCTTTTTTCTTTGTCTCACTGAGGGTAACAATCTCTATTTTGTAATTTACCAACACTCTAAAATTTTAAATTATACTTTGTACTGTTTCCTTGAACATTCCAACATCCAAAACTCAATAACCTTTTCCGTCACGTATGTCATTTATAATGTGTTCTATTCTGATTGCGAAGCTTTTGGTTGAGACTTTTAACAGTCGGTTTTTACAGTAAAATTTTGTTAGCCCTTTGACTAACTCTCCTCCTTTCTCCGGGCTTGGAACCGGCAACTGCATCTTCCAGCTACTCAGTCCAAATCATTACTTCATGTCAGATATTGTTACTTTTCTACAAAACTTAGAAACTGAGGAATGGAATGATTTGTACTCCGCTACTAATACTAATAACTCCACAGAAATGTTTGTAAACAAATTAAAATGCTATATTGAAAAATGTACTACGGTTGTGAAAAAGAAAC